GCATATGCACACGTACACACACATGTGTGTGTATGTATGTGTGTATGTGTGTGTATGTGTGTGTATGTGTGTGTATGTGTGTGTATGTGTGTGTATGTGTGTGTATGTGTGTGTATGTGTGTGTATGTGTGTGTATGTGTGTGTATGTGTGTGTATGTGTGTGTATGTGTGTGTATGTGTGTGTATGTGTGTGTATGTGTGTGTATGTGTGTGTATGTGTGTGTATGTGTGTGTATGTGTGTGTATGTGTGTGTATGTGTGTGTATGTGTGTGTGTGTGTATGTGTGTGTATGTGTGTGTATGTGTGTGTATGTGTGTGTATGTGTGTATGTCTGTGTCTTACACGGTAACCTAAGGGTCGGCTGGGGACCGAGGCCCACTCCACCGCAGGTGCTTTCCCAGCCGTGCCCAGAGAGTGGCCGCTTCGCGGGCGAGGATGGGAGACGCAGAGTCCCGAGCGCAATACTACGACCAGAAACTGCAACCTAAACCGCATATTCACCGTATGCAGTTGCAGCTACAGCTGCCTGTCGCAGTACTTTGTACTGCAATGGTACAGGACATGTGGTTGTGCCTTCGTACCTGGGAACAAGGGGGTGCCGGTGGCCATCTCGGCAATAGTGCAGGCGATACTCCAAACCTGCGCGATGCGACAGTTTCCGGCGGCGTCGGACTTGTGCGGTGGGGTCGGGTCGGGTTGGACTAAAAGCACAGACAACGACCTTGCTCAACCAAGAGTGCAATCACACATCCCTACAACATGAACCGAACCATGCAAGGAAAGGTGTGCGGGGCCAGGCGCGATAAGCCTTTTCAGAAAGGCTAGGCGGGCGGACAGGCAGACGGCGCTATCAGGTTGAAAAGACTAACGAGCAAAGGGCCACTTGAAGCGCGTCATGTCAGCTGTCATGTAAGCGCGCAGGGGTAGCAGCCGAGACTCACATCGGAGCTGGGCCCGTATTCGCTTCCAGCCAGGATTTCTGCGAGAGCAGCAGCAGCAGCAGCAGTAGCAGCAGTAGCAGCAGTAGCAACAGGGAGAGGGCATTTCAATGGTGGAACATTCGGCTGCCCTTCGTGCTATGGATAACACTGTTATAGCTTCCGCACAGCACTTCCTGCTGAAGTTAGTTGCAAGGGAAAACAAATGACGTGCTGTTCTGTCCACACATGTACGCGCGCCTGTATTTTATTCGCATGTGTGTTGGAGGCATGTAAATGGAAGTACAGCACTGCGGAACGTGCGCAAATGCATCAAATGGATCCGTTGATCGATCCCGCGATGGGGCTCTTGCTTACCGGGTGCGCGATACCAGCGAGTCACGATGTACGGCGTGTGCTCACCGCGTCCACCGACATGCCGTGCGAAGCCGAAGTCGCACAGCTTGACAACGCCATTACCGTCCAACAGCAAGTTTGCGGGCTTGATGTCCCTGTGCATAATCTGCAAACGAACAGGTAAAGAGCAATGCTGAACATTAGCTGCCAGGTGGAGACAGACGGACAGAGAGACAGACGGACAGAGAGATACACGGACAGAGAGATACACGGACAGGTAGACAGACGCGTGCGCACAATGCCCCAGGCCAAGCGCGATCAGGCTCACCCAGTCGCTCGCTCCATCTCGCCCTCGTACCCCACTTCCTGCTTGCACAACCCCTCATCCCCCCTCATGCCCCCTCATGCCCCCTCATGCCCCCTCATGCCCCCTCATGCCCCCTCATGCCCCCTCATGCCCCCTCATCCCCCCTCAAGCCCCCTCATCCCCCCTCATGCCCCCTCATGTCCCCAACCTGCACTCACATTTCGCTCGTGTAGATGTGCAACGGCTCGCAGCAGCTGCCATACAGCCGCCTTAAGAATGGCGTACGGTAGGCCCTCGGGATTGGCCTCCACCTCGTCCATGATGCTCGTCTCCATGCGCTCGAAAACCTAGACCCCAGCAAGACAGCAAATTAAGTAACAGTTCTCGTCAAGCTTCGCGATGGGGCAGCAAGCTCAGCAAACAGACAGCATGCTATGCGACCAGGCAACACTTTGACACACAGGCAGCACAGCAATTGACTCAGCTGCGGCTTGTGAATTTTCTGGAAAGCCGGGCGGTGCAGACGCACGTGTCTGGACCCTGTAGATCTTGACGTTTGGTAGCTTGGCAAGATGGGGACGGCTGAGACTGGCCTGTGCCTATCCATAGCTGCTCTCCATCTAAGTTTTCGCGGCGGCGAAGGTTGAGGACGGAAGCTGGACGGAGCTGTGGCATACATGCGGGGGGAAGAGACTTGCGAAGTAGAAAATGCTGACGGGTGCCTGAAGTGCGCTCAGGACGCTAAGGTGCATCGCCATGGAGCTGGGGAAGCCGTACGTGCTCCCCAGCGCGCCCTGCTGGCTCCTCCTTGCATACACATGGATCATGTGCGCCATCTTCACATGACGTTTGCCATGTCCATAGCCGTTGCCGTTGGGTAATCCTTCCACACATATTGACCGACCCAGCGACCCACCAGATGCACCCGGCCACTTCGTGACTGGAACGCGGAGAGGAGCTTCACAAGATTGGGGTGGTTGGCCGTTTGAAGCATCCGAACCTCGCGATGCACCAGCCGCATGACCGCCTTGCAAGTGTGAGCCTGTGTACATTGGAGTTATGTACTTGCATGAGTGCGTGTATAAGTAATTGCAGAATAAACATCTTAGGGGAGATACCCCGGATGCTGAGTTTCCTGGCTCGCTGCATTGGGATAAACAATGGGGCAAGAGTTTTAACGGGGGAGAGACTGATTCATGACTAGCTGGGCACATACACTACACAACACCACGTTAATGCGGGTGTCGCCATTTACCCCGCAGGTATCTTCCGAGCCGTACGGTAATCGATCGCAAATCTCCAATGGAGTACTGTCGTACATGTGCGAGTACATTTTTTATGATCCCATATGGGATCAAGGGCAACGTTGAGCTGCAGACTGCAGCTTCTGGCACAGATTCGAGTAAAGTACGAAGGTAACTGCTGCAGTGACGGACTTATTTTTTTTCTCGAATTCTGGCAGCACGTCAGCGCCCCTCGACGGATTTCCGTTTTAGTGGGCCGCGGCTCGCAATGGTACGGCCGCTTTGTCAAAGTGCAACATCCGGGCGTCACTTCATCTCTTTCTGCTTTTCCAGCTGGAACGCCAAAGATACCCCGGCCGCATTCACGTCTGTCGTACTCCCCACCTGCTTAAGCACCTTTATGGCGACTACACGGCATGTCGACTTGTCGATTGCGTGCCAAACTTCACTGTAAGCACCGCTTCCAATGCAAGCAATGTACTCGTATTTTTCCTGTATTTAATCGAGGGAGTATAACACATGTAAGTCTGGGTCGGCGTTTTCAACCCGACGTGCGGGCGGGCGAGGTCCTTTGTAGCAGACTGCAGCGGTGTCCATGCATCATGATAGTTTGCAATTGGCTACATATAAAAGTTTAACGGTAGATATGAAATATCTACTTTGGATGATACCAAGCGACTGCGTGGTGAAAGCTGCTGGGGAAGTCGGGCTGGCTTGCCCGTAGAAACTCAGGGCCAAAAAGAGATGTTTGATGCCTCCACATTTTGAGTTGAATACCTATTATGGTAATACATGTGATGACGTTTGCCGAGAATGGAGGAAAAACCGACATGCGAATAATGTCGAAGGACAGTAGCAGGATCATTACAGAAGGAAAACAAACATGCAGAGGAGAAGTAGTTAGGCAGGACCAAGCGAGGAAGTGAAATTAAGCGGGTGTTCATGCATAGGACAAAGTCATATCCCCACGCTGCTGGTCATTCATGTTTTTGGTGATGCCCTTGATAGAACGAAAAGTGGATCGGACAGCCCCCAATGAACCGAAACACGTTCTTACCCTGTTCATGATAGCTTTCAAAGGAAATCTTGGCTTATGTCAGGATGATGATGATGGTGGTGGTGATGGTGACGATGATGATGAAGACGTTCAATCACAAGATAAAGGACTGCAACGTCCTTGCCGTCGCTCGCGAAATCCCAGAAGCGAGTATTGCGTAATTGTGAGAGTTGTCTTCGGTTTCCGCGGTATCTTTACTTTTATGCTTCTAATCGTGACATTCTGTACGGGCCGTAATTCGCGGGACGCCTGTTAGGTCTGGTTACTAACGTTATCTTGTAGGCCTGACGACTGACCCGGACAAGCGCAGCAGTGATGATGAACTTTAAAAACAGTAAATATAATACTCTTATGTTTCATTTCGTTCTTTTCTGCAGCCACAAGCTCGGGAAAGGCCATAACTGGCGCCCGTATCCGGTAACGGTAACGCGGCATAACTACGGAAAAAGCTGAGCGGTGGACAACGGTGCGCGTATATACATTAAGTTGATTTACTTGAGATAACAAAACCTTTTCATGCGATAAAAGGCACTAGCTCGGATACGGAGCTGATACGGTATAAACGGCTTGAAGCCACTGTTAAATGCATAGCTGAGAAGTAGCTCAGATGCAGAGCTCATACGGTACGAATGACTTGAATTTGCTAAACGCGTTCTGCGTATTTCAGCCCGCTGAAAGAAAACAACTATCAGCTACTATAACCTTGGTCTCATCTAAAACCTGGCCACAATATTTTGACCCTGCTCTCCAAACCCTTTGTGGTCCTTCGCATTCTTGCGCCTTGCGATAAGGCCTGCGCCGACCTAAGTCGCAGGCCCCAGGTCCGGCTAGGCCTGAGACCCGTTCGTACAACCCGCTACTCATTCTCCCCTGCATTATGTAACGTGTAACCTGGAGCAACCCATCCTGTTCTGATATGCGTCGTCGCGTCCACTCATCAACAGTGGAAGTAAATACTATAACCATGCAGCTGTCCAGGGTGGCCCAGCGGCTGGAAGCATCCAGGATGGTGCCGTCGTTTGCGTGACGTAAAGTTTTTTGCCGGCAACCTCTCGAGAATGAGGACGGTAATGTGCAGTGCAATGGTTGCAGGTCATCATCGGCCCAGAGCGCGTAATCCCTTTGTCGTCTGTTCCCCTTCCCGCGGCGTTTCTGTGTGAGTCTCTCCGCCGCCCACCGGCGCATCAGCCCTGTGGCGCTGTCTTTTCCACCTCGGTTCGCATCTCGCATGATAATGGCTCGACTCGATGGCGCGGAGAGGCCCCCGCCCCCGCCCGCCCCCGCATACGTAGACTGGCCCCACATATATTTAGATTGTATACATAATCCTGCGGCCTGCGACAGCGTCTAAGGAAAGTCCACTAAATTGTGGACTTTTCTTATCTTAGATGCTGTCGTAGGGGGATGGCCGTTTGCGGCATTCATCTTCAACCTGCAGGTTGAAGGTGGTGGGCTGGTGGGCTGCAGCTGCAGCCCACCAGCTGGTGGCTCAGCCTCCGGAGACCCTTCAGCCCGCCTTCATCCCCGCCGCCACGAGCCGTACCTCTATTGTCCATCGAGTTTCACGACCCTATGGCGTTTCGTCGTTCATGGATTGTAGCTGCTGCCGCAGGAAGTGACTTTGGGGATGGTTGGCGTCCTAGCCGGCACAAAGCGTGGTGGCAGTGCCCTGCAGTGCTGATGTTTCCTGTTTGGAACGACCTGTTTGGACAGAACGGAGGGGGGTTGCAGAGCGGTCAGGATGCGGCGAAGGGTCGTCGGGCACACGGGAGGATACGAATGGGAAAGAGTAGGATAGAAATGTGGACCCCCCAGGATAAGGACAGCAGAGGGCCCGGGACGGCGGCAAATTTGGAAGGGTCGGCAAATTTGGAAGGGCCAACCTATCAAGGATGAGGATGGTGGAAGTGTCAGTCACGCGCTTTTCCAAGAGCCTTCACCGCTGAAAAGCCTATTATCTTGGCATTTTTCCAGTGGAGAGGGGCTGACTTGTTCTTTAGAAGCCCTTTTTCGAACGCAGAAGAACTAACGGCCCTGTACCGGCGTTCCTGACTGTACGGGAGTACTCGGTAGAGCAGCTTAAACAAGCAGCTGCAGTGTGGGCTGGCGCAATTGCAACAACGATTGTTAGACACATTCTAGTGCGATGTACGCGAAAAAAAGCGCGATACTCCTTGACCTAGGAAACGTGCGTAAGCGCAAATTTGCATTTGAGCGTGCCGGGAGGTTGCCTAATGCAGCCGTCCAACGCAAATGCGGTAACAGCTGATACGTGGCTTGATTTCTGGAAGTCGCGCGTTGGCTAAACGAGGGCGTTACATATCCGTCTGGGGAGTAGGTTCCCAGGGCGGAACCCTCCTTCAATATCAGAGCTCGGCAGAAACGAACGAAGTAAGGGGCCTTCGGATCCTATTACTATTGCAAAAGACGGTTCCCTATCACAATAAGTTGAAGCTTATGCTTACGCCTATAACGTTATGGTTTACACAGAAAAATGCTTACAAGCGTGTGGCAAAAGGAATACGATTTTCCGTCAGCCCTAAGACGGCCATCTATAGCAATCATATGGCATCTGCAAGCCGAGCCTCGAAGCACGTTGTTGTCCGGCACACAACAACGAGCGCGGCAAAACGACACCGGCACCACCACAGGCGTCGGCGTCACCAGTTTCTATGCGTCCTCTTTTCAATCTCACATATGCCTGCATATGTGCCCCTTACGACTGCAGATTTCCCAACTCCCTGCCACCGCCACACGCCACGCTGGCATCTTGGCATCTTCGTGATTAACGCCCGTCCCCAACAGCATTCATACGCACACTTCGTATGGCATCCAGCAATCGCGGGTATCATGCGGATACCTGGCATATACATTCATCCAAACCTGCCGGGTAGTTGCGAAATAATAATCGTAGCCTCATATCGCTTGCAGTGGCTGTATTCTGGCGTTACCCCTCTAACAGAGAGCGCACCTTGTCCCCACCCTCTCGCCGCCACCCTCACCCTCACCCGCTCCAATCACGCTCGCGCCAACTAGCTAAAGGAGGAGCAGAGTGAGAAAGGGAAGAGAGTGCATCACTTTTCTTGGCCGCATATAAAATGATGCACCTCCAAGCAACGAGCTCATGTAGTCCCAATGCTGCCGGACGCGCTTCTATACACACACGCACACCCACGCCACGGTGCGCGTGTATGCAAACATGTATATATGAGGGCTGTATGTCTGTCTGCATTGACGTACGTATGTATGTGTGTATGTACATGAAAGCGTTGCATTCTTCTTCCGCGCCCGTATTGGATCAGGTGCCATGGAAACGAGGCCCCACGAAAACTCCTCCAGCAGCCTCCAAACATTTTAACGCCACTTCCACCGTCACGTTTACGGGCCCCGTCTTCTCTCCCACACCCCGGATCCAATGGATCCCGGGATCCGCCCCGTCAGCCCCGGGCACCGGATCCAAACATCACTTCATTGAAGTCACGTGCCCCATCTGGGTCGGTGACTGTGTCATCAGCTCCGTGCACCGCGCCTGCTGACGAGCGATTTCCATCTTTGCCATTTCACCAAATTCAATCATACCCAATCCGCATCAGGTCCACAATTCATTTGGATTTTCCTCTTTGATACAGCCCCGGCCCCCTCTTCTTCGCTTCGTCTGAGGAGTCAACTCACGAATATACTCTAGGCAGGCGGCTGGCAGAGGTTAAGGCCTGACTTCTGCTCCCAGTTGACCCAGTCGACCCGGGTTCAAATCCGCCTGCCGGCTCCTCGGGTGTTTGAGGAGTGATGAAATGGGAGGTGGCCCCCCATCTTATGGACGGTGTAGGACGTGATAATATCAACTTGCGAGCTGACCAGGAACTAAGTTGATGCGCCGTTGATCCGCTAGATTTGGTTGGATGCTGGTGGTGAGTTGCCGAACCCAACGAATACATTCTGAAGTCGGATGGGGTGACGGATTAGGGTGCCCCTCTAGCAGGGGAGAGCAGGGACTGCCCCGGGAAAGGGGGCCGCTGGCGAAGTTAACCACCCTGTAACAACATACATACTCTAAAATGGAATTGCAACAACTTGCACCTTGAGCTGCGACCTTCTCTGAGGAGAGCTCATGGAGCTCAGCGACCCGCCCTCTTCTTCAGCAGCTCCGGCACGTCGTCCGCCTGCGCCAGCTTAGACAGCAGCGTTTCCTCACCTCGCCGGGCAGCCGTCAGGGAAGAAGGCAGCCTCCAGATCTGCAACGCATGGGGGGGTGGTCCAGGTGGGGTCGTCATCGCCGCCATCGCACGGCGAATAACATAGCATCAATCAACATAGCCTCAATCAAATACACAAATCAAAACATAAAGCGATCATCACGCAACTCTACGACGCCGGTTGGTCGGAAATTTCACAATGCAGGCAAGTGAGCAAACAGGCACGCAGAGGCAGGCGGGGCAGAACAGGGCGGCGCTGTGGCAGTGGCAGCTAAGAAGCGTCGGGGAAAAGAGCCGTTTCAACAAAACTATGGATGCGCCGCTGATCACTTCCACTGATGTGCATGAGCTGTCTGGGCGAGGGGCACCTAGTTGAAAGGTCCCCGCTGGGCCACGGGACACCGAGCCCCCCCCCCCGCGTTAGGGGGTTCACAGGCAGGGCCAACCCCAACCCTATATGCCGTCATACACTCGAACCCCAGTTCGAACCCCGGCCCCACCCACCTGAATGCCCGTTGTGTCTCCCGTGGCGAGCAGGTCAGGCTTCCGCGGGTTGAAGGCCAGTGCGTACACGGGCTTGCGCATGCCGTTGGCGTCCAGAGTCAGCACCGGCCGGATGATCTCATGACCCCGTATGAGATCGTACATGTACACACAGCCGTCAGCTGCAGCAACAGCAGCAACGGGTTGACAGTAGCAATGGCAGTTAGCAGTAGCAGTCAGCAGTAGCAGTTAGCAGTAGCAGTTAGCAGTAGCAGTTAGCAGCAGTTAGCAGTATTCAGCAGCATTCAGCAGCACAAAGAAGGAGAAGAAGAAGAAGCTAAGATGAGACAACAAGGCAGGATTTAACACTCAACCACACATTTCCATTTAACCACAAACCATCATAATACCTCCCCATGCACTTCATCCCATCTTCCCTCCTAACACGCACCCACCCCAACACACCCATGCACGCGCCCACCCACTCAGCTGGCCAGCTACCCACCCGCTGCCGCCGCAAAAACCAAGGGCCTGAACGGGCTCCACTGCACCGCGAACAGGTAGGCAGCTGTGGGCTCCAGGTGCAGCAGCGGCTGCATGCGGAGAGATGAGTACAGCCGCACACTTCCATCCGTAGAACTCGTCAGGAACAGCTCCCGCTGCGGGAAGACGACGAGGGAGGAAGAGCGGGAGGGGGGAAGGGAAGGGGGGGGAGTGGGTGCCGAGGAAGACAGGGGAAGAGGGCAAAGGTGTCACAAGACAGGCCTCGGAGACACCCCTCTGCGGGAGGAGGGCTCCACGGGTGCCACACGCAAAACAGTCAGCCAGCCAGTCAACTAGTCAGTAAGTCAGTCAAGCAATCAGTCAGCCAATCAGTCAGCCAATCAGTCAGCCAATCAGCCAATCAGCCAGGAAGATAGATAGATAGATAGATAGATAGATAGATAGATAGATAGATAGATAGATAGATAGATAGATAGATAGATAGATAGATAAATAGATGGCCAACCAGCCAATTCGTGCCATCCCCTCCCTCCTGCCTTCGCACCGCCAACCAACAAGTCACAATACTTTCGCTCCGAAGTGACAGCGACAAGGCGCGAGGAGGACCGACCGCTCGTCGACCCTCCCCTTTCTGAACCACCCCCTTCCTCCTCTGTATCTGTGTCTGAACCCCCCGCCGCCAGATGTGCGAAATGGAGTTCCTGGAGACATGAGACACACACTACACATAGCCCAGCCGGTGAGCATCCCCCTCAGGCGACATCACCACCACTACCACCACCACGACGACATCACCAGTACCGAGCCCATCAACGTATTGATTGGCGCCTCCCCTTCCCCAGGTGCCCCCGGCCAGGGCGTGCATGCACTTCTCGCCCGACGCCGGCATCGTACCTGGAACGGCGAGCAGTCCAGCCCAAACACCGCACCCGCGTGTGTCTGGTAGTTGGCCTCCCGCACCGGCGTCCGCAACTCCACGCGCTCACCCGCCGCCACCGCCCGAGTGAACTCCTGCAAAGATTTGACGGGGCAAAGGACGCACCAGCAAACACGCAAGCACAGATGCTCGTGTGTGCGTGTGCGACAGTGCTCCAGTGCTTCCTGCTGGCGGCTCAGTCCCTTAACACACACACACACACACACACACACACACACACACAGACAGACACCATAGAATGCAGCACTGTCTCCAGCTATCCGTGTTTGTAAGGTGCGCGGGGCAATCGGCCCATGCACTCCAACTGAACACGTGCCATTGGGAACAAACACCACGGACCGCACTCCGAAACAACTCGAGAGCTGGGCAGCAGCAGCAGCAGCAGCAGCAGCAGCAGCAGCAGCTGGCGGCCGCGCCCTGTCAGCCCGATGGCGCTCCGCCGGCGCATGACCGGCGGGATCCCGCGGCAGCTGCCCTACGTACGGCCACCCGACTGCAGGTGGCTTCCGACTCTTTTACCACTGACGGCCCCCACCCGCGCGAGAGAGAGGCGGCCTGACCGGCCTGCCCTTGCACGCTCCGACGGAGCGGCCCGCCAGCGGACACCCAGCCACACAACCCTGGACGTGAGCCACGTGGCGCTGTACCTCCGCCGGCACCGACCACTCCCCGAGCCCCAGATCGGTGCTCACCATGAGGGCGCCAGGCGGCTCACAGCCCTGCCAGGAGTGCCGAGCCACCAGTGCCGCGCCCGCCGGCTGGCCATGACAGACAGACAGCCCAGAGTCTCAGACCCTTCCTCCTACCCATCCGTACAGCCCGGGCCGCAGCCCAGGCCGAAGCCCGGGCTACGGCCCATGCAAGAGCCGAGGCCAAGCCCACCCCCCCCCCCGCACCCATGCACCCCTCCACAACCCGGATCCTCAGCCCGGGCGCTTCCTTGCCTTGGTATTGGCGTCGTTGGTGTCATTGTAACATTTGAAGATCTTGCCGCCCTCCGTGCCAACCAGAAACGTGCCGGCGGCCTCGCCAGCCCCGCCAGCGGCTGCCGCCGCCGCCGCTGCCGCCGTCGACGAGGATGAGGACGAGGATGCGCCTCGCGCCTCGCGCTGGAAGCACATGCAGGCGCCGCCCCAGACGAAACGCCGGTCAATGCCGGGCTGCGGGAAGATTAGCTGGTACCTGCGGGACGGGCGGGTGGGTGCGTGGGTGGGTGGGTAGGGTTCGGGGCAAGAGGTTATAACTTGGCGGTGGCAATGGAATGGTTGAAGTGCTTGGGCACAAGGAGCAAGAGTGGGAATGACGGCAGCGGCTCAGTTCATGAAATAACACACGTATATATACATATATACACGTATATATACATATATATATACGGACACCGACATACACACACACACACACAGAACCACGCATATACACATAGCCACAGCTGCGCACACCATGGCTATGCACACCCGTTGTCGTACCCGTACACCGGCGCCTCCAGCTTGTGCCAGAGCCATATCAGCACACGGCCGTCAGCGCCCAGCGTCACCAACCGGTACGCCTTGTCCTTGGTGCCGTACTTGGCAGCATCTGCGCCGCAGAGGGACCCTCTCACCGCCAGTGCTAGTGTCGGTGTCGGGGGCCGCTGGAAACTGGGGGCCACTATCACCACCACCTTTTATCACTATTGCCAGCACTATCACCACTATCACCACCAGCATTGTTACCACCATTACCGCGACTGCTGCCACCACTACCACTACCATCACGACCACCGCTACCATAACCGCCACTCTGGGATTTCGTTCAGGTCGCCTTCCGTTGGGCGTGAGTCCTCGGAGCAGCAGGACGAACCGCGAACGAGGGGCTCGAAGGGGCCTGATCCTGCTTTGCTGGATGACACCCAACCAATGGACCAGTGGACCATGATGCACCCAACCCGGCCACAGCCACGGCCACCCACTCCGCTACACAGCCAGCAGCTAGAAAGACCCACCCGTCAGGTTGTACTGCCACGTGATGTTGAGGATCGGCTCCATGTGCCGTACATCCAGCAGTACATCAGATCGGCCCCGCTGCTGGTCGCCCTCTGTGCTGAGGTCCCAGACGTAGAGCTCGCCGTTGAAGGTGCCCCCCGCGATGAGCGCCTGGACGGCCGCGAGGGGGGGTGGAGAGGAGCGGGGCGCGCGAGATGGGAAGTGAGTTGCGGGGGAAGAGGGGATGAATGAAACCTCCTGGTGCCATGGATGGACGGATTTGTGGATTAGTTGATTAGATGATTTGTTTATTGATTGATTGGCTGGCTGGTTGAATGATCGTGTGTTTGTGTGTTTGTGTGTGTGTTTTACATCCGCTGCTTGTACATACGAGCAATTAGCGGTCCCGCCTTAACGAACCAAGAGATTCCTAATTAGGCGATAAAGGCGCTAAAAGCAGCTAGGAAGCGCCTGTGCGCACCTAGGCAGACCAGAACGTGCACGCCTAGGAACACACGCCCACGCACACACGCACATACACATGTACAAAATCATACACACAAGAACACACACACGAACACGAACACATACATACATACATACATACATACATACATACATACATACATACGCACACATTACACGTATCTCACCGGATGCGCCGGGTGGAAGGCGCAACTCATGAGGCAGGTGTCCGTGTCGATTCGCTGGTCGGGTCGGCAGGTGTTCACCTCCTCGCGACCGAGGTTCCACGTGCACAGCGCTCCAGGGAACGTGCACCAACCCACGACGTCGTATCTGTCGTACACCGCGGGCCCAGATAGACACAATTACATACATGTCTGTCTGTATGTCTGTGTGCCTCAATGATAGGGCCGAACAAGAAATATATGTCCCATAGGAGCTGTAGGTTTTGGCATGCATCGTCCTCATTTATAAGGCCTTCAGGGCCTTCAGGTTCGTCAGCGCTGTCACGTGAGTTCCATCTGATGGAAAATGCACATCTCGATGCACTGCGCACAGCATTCTCGCGAGCCTCGCGCCTCGACAGTGCGCTTTGCCGGAAGCACTCAACTGACGCACAGACATGCATACCTACAAAGAACGCCGCGCGCGGAAAGAGCGCAGGCGACAGGAGGAAAAAGCACAGCATAAAAAGAGCGCTGCACAAAACAACAGCCGACAGAGAGGGCGCCGTTCCAGAAGAAAAGAAAACTCAGGCCCCGCGTCCTCCATTTCACGCTCTGTAGTAGCTGGCCGCTGAAAAGGCCTCTCGAGATGCTGGCGGTATTTGTATAGCTTTGCGCGTATTTGTATAGCCGTACTGTGTACCAGCTACTACACGCTCCGCCGCTCGGGCCGTTCTGTCGGGCCTTCACAGCGGTGAAGTTCTCGCGTGCAAACAGGGTGCAGGGTGAGGTGCAGCAGCGGAAGCTGCAGCGCGCAGCGGCGACCCCGGGGCTTGGCTGCATGGCTGGGGTCGGCGTGGCTCCGTACGCGTGTCAAAAGGATGTGTGGTGCCAGCCCAGGAGCCCCCCAGGAGCTTCCCACTCCCCCACAGGGACCCTGTGCCAGCCACATGCACAACCACACAAACAACCAGACACATCCACAACCACAGCTACGCCATATCGACAACCCTCTGGCCCTCCATTCCTCCGACGGCCATCCACTTCCTTTTTCACCTTCCACGCTCTGACGCGACCCGGCGCAGTGCTGGCGCCTTCACGGCCCTGGGGCCTGAACTGCTCTGTACTGCACATTCGTACCTGCCATACGACGCCGCAATGGTCTGTCCCGTAGCACTCCAGGACAGGCACGTCACCACCAGCTTGTGCTTGTTGACCTGGGTACTTGTGGCGTTGAGATCCACGGCCGTACCCGTGTCGTCGGGCTGGAAGGGAGACAAGAAGTGCATGCAGGTAGCGGGCTCCTGCGGTTGGGGGGGACCCGGGGGGGGGAAAGCCAGGGCTGGATGGGCGTATTGGGGAAAACAAAAGCACCCCTCCCTCGCCCGGACGGGGCCCTCCACAGCACCATACGGACCTGTTCCTCGTCGGCCGCCCTCGTGAGGGGCTCAAGCACCTCTGCCTCCTCGGTTGCCTTGGTTAGCTCGACCGCCACCATGCCCTCCACCCTGCATGCGCGCATCCAAGAAGCGAGGAGGCGGATGGGAAAGACGAACCACGAACGAGTGAAGCTGCTGCGGAGGCGAGGAGGCGGATGGGAAGGAGAAGCCGCTGCGGATTCCAACCAGGACTCATGCCCCATTGGCGAATGGCGCACATGAATTAGGGCGATTGTTCGGGTGATCGTTATCCGCCGTCGGTTTAACCGTGCATTGAGGCAACTGAGCGCCACATTGTGGCGCTCAGTTGCCTCTATGTCCTCAAGAGGGAGAAACATGGTTAGTAAATGCCGATTCCAGGCACAACACTCGCAACACTCTCAAAAAACAATGGCAAGTGCTGGATCAACGGGAACGGCGCAGGTATTGCCGCGGGCTATGAGGTGGGAAGTTAAAAGAGGGCTGGAGGAAGGAGGGCTGGAAGAATGTTGCCCTCCGCAGGGCCCGGGTATATCTGGGTTACGCTCGCTTGAGCGCGCGGCGCCCAGGTGTGCGAGGACAGGGTATGTTCGAGTGCCGACGGTCCCGTTGTGCTCTTAGGCTTAGCCGGGTTCCCTTGGGGATCCACTGGGTCTGCAGCCGCTTGGCCCCACTGCCAGGGACTCCAGGGGATCTCAAGGGCATGGAGGCGTGTGAGCTGTGTTGCGACTTACTTTTTCACAAAGTCGGCCAGCCCCGACGCCTTAAGCTTTGACGGAGATGTGGGGCGACCAGGATCGTCGGTTTGCGTGCCGTGGCTTTCCCGACTGCCTGTTTGTGTTGACACCTCTTCAGCCTTAAGAGGGCCCGTCTCCGTAGCCACCGTGTTACTGCCGATAACGACGCTCCGCCACGTACTGGGGACATCCACCTGCGGCAGCATGTGACGTCGCCATGTCGACCGGTGAAGAGTCTTAAATGCGCCGCCGCTGCATGAGATACATACTCGAGCGTCCCCTGGAAGTGTATCTTCAAAATCGGGCGGTACGCCTGCCATATTCTCGGGCAACGGAAGGAAGGCAGCCAGTTTCACGCGCTAATTTGATCGCAGACCAGCACAGAAATTGCCTACAGGCCCATATGTATATTCCTGTGTGCCTAAGAGGTTGAGGATGTATTGTCTTAGGAGTTCGGAAGCCCGCTCGAAGAGCCTTGCAAGGAGCTTATGTCAGGTTGAGTAAGACACAAAATGAATAGCAAAGAACAAAAATTAATAATCCATAACAACACCATCGAGGCTTCCTGAGTTGAATCTCGGTTGAAGAAACAACTAACGTGCTGCCCGGAATACGGCATCGTCCACTTGTAGCTATGCAATCCAAAACGGCAAGCTGGGGAGTGTAAACATCCTTGATTCTTTGTCCTTGACCCTGAAGACTTGGCGACCGATGTCTGTTCATGTGTGCAAACTTTGTATTTGCATTGATCTGCGGACTTGACCAAATCTTATCAACTGATTTACGTCACAATTCATCATTGTTTTAGACATGATGGACAAAGCATTGGCTCAATGCCTGCTCTTGATCACCATTACCTTCACAGCGTCAGCAGCTGCAGCAGGGGCAGCAGCTGAAGATTCCGTGTTCGGGAGCCGTGACTTGAAAACTGTGCTGGTGCGTTACCGGTACTGAGCGCCGCCACAGATTCTGTTGTGGGGTGTAACACAGTGCACAGCTGTTTGAGATTGAAGGTCATGGCATGTTGTGCCTCCTCGCCTTAGCGAGAGCCATGCACATGCACGAAGAAAGTTTGACGTTGTCGAGCTGGTGTATATGATACCGTAATCCTCGGGACGTGAACGGTTGTGTGCAACGGTCCCTGACCCACAGGAGCGCATCGCTATTAATAAAGAGGTGATGGCAGCAGTATCAAATGGCGCGCTTATCACGCCGAATGGCAAATATGGGATGCTTAAGCTATGGATTGATGGCTGCCAACGCGCGGGCGTCAAGAACTTCATGGTGATCGCCATCGACGACGACGTACGTGCTGTCTACCTTTGGGAACAAGTTTTTTAATGAGGGGGCCGGGGGCAGCGGTGCTCTGAGAGGGTCCAGGCGGGCGGCTGGGAACTGGCTCAGGGCTTTCACCACACCATCGTGTTTAATTTGCTACATGTACGGGCTTTCCACCGCTAAAGCGTGTGCAGCCCACGGCTACTCTATCTGCTACGCCAAAATGGCCGACACGTAGCCAGGCTGGGTTTACAATGCTCCGCCAGCGGCAGCGCGCCCAGCAGGTCCATAAGGCCCTTCCCATCAGTACCCTGCATGACGCTGCCATGTTCCAGCACGGGGCGTGATGTAAAGCCTCCAGCC